AGTTGAGGGCTTTTTTTTTTTTTCCTAGTTATTTTCAATGTATCTTGACCTTTTGTACCTAATTTTTTGCTCAAACAACAGGGAAATCTATTGTCTCATACAACTTTCCTCTCCTCCCATTTGCTTCCTACTGAATGTCTTCAAACATGCCAGGCGCTTTGCCTCAGGGCCTTTGCACGAATTCTTCCCATTTTTGGAAGGTTCTTCATCTAAGTGACTGCATGGCTCCCTCCCTCACCTTTGTTCAAAGGTTCCCTTCTCTATAAAGCCTCTCCTGACCTCTCCATTCAGTTCGCACCTACGTTAGACAGACACAATATGGCCCAGTACTGGTGGCACCAAACTTATCGCCTGCTTATTATCAATATCATTATTCTAACTAATATTCTAAAACAAGCATTAGCCAACACTACTTTTTGTAAACATTTAAAAATGGCTACATGTAGCCTATTTCTTTCCTTTTTATTGTATGTATTGGGGTGATACTGGTTAAGAAAATTATGCAGGTTTCAGGTGCACAGTTTTTTGAATGAACCATACTTTATTAAAAAAATTTTTTTTTTTGCCCTGGCCGGTTTGGCTCAGCGGTTGGAGCGTTGGCCTGTGGTCCGGAGAGACCCGGGTTCGGTTCCCGCTAAGGGCACGTACCTCGGTTGCAGTTTGTCCCCGGCCCTGGTTGGTCGTGCGGGTGGCAGCCACTCGATATGTTCCTTCACATGGATGTTTCTCTCTCTCTCTCCCTCCCGCTCTATCTGAACAAAAAATGAAAAAATGTCCTCGGGTGAGGATAAAAAAAAAAAAATTTTTTTTCTTTATTGATTTTAGAGAGAGAGGAAGGGAGAGGGAGCGAGATAGAAACATCGATAAGAGAGAACATCAATTGACCGCTTTCTGCATGCCCCCACTGGGCATCAGGTCCGCAACCTGGGTGTGTGCCCTGACCGGGAATCAAACTGGTGACCTCTTGGTGCATGGGTGGATGCTCAACCACTGAGCCATACTGTCTGGGCTGAATGAACCATACTTTAATCATCACCCTACTGCTGGACAGTGTTTTGTTATTGTCAGTTACATAAACCTACTGTGAACCTCTTGTGTATAAAGTGTTTTTCCAATTCTTAGACATTAAAAGAGATTGTTAGACATGGGATTACTGTGTCAAGGTTTATTGTATTAAGACATTTGACTGCAAGTGATACAAACTCAGCTCAAACTGGCTTAAGCAAATTAAGAGAAGTTATTGGCCGGTGTATTTGCAAATGCAGGGGGTGGACTTCAGGTTGATCGATTCCAGAGGTTCAGTCCATGTCACTGGTGGTCTGGTTTGTATCTCTCATCTTTAACACCTGCTCTATGCACTGGCTTTATTCTGAGGCAGCCTCTTCCCTTCAGAGGATAATTGTTACCCAAAGCTCCTGTTTCTATCCTACCAACTCTGTCTACCGTCTCCTCTTAGAAAGATGTCCCATTCCCAATATTTTCAACAAATACTCAGGACAGATTCTCATTGGCTCACACTGAATTATACCATCTTTGAATCGCTCACTTTGACCATAGAACAAGGATACACGAGAGTGAGGATGATGATGTCATTTCACCCAAAGCACATAGTCTCAGGGTAGGGGGGCTGCTGATTCCCACAGGACACTCAGGGTGCTCTTACCCAACTAGGGGACGAATATTGGGCAGGCCCCAAATGACAGATCTTCATTTTACTTATGAACCTTTTAAGGGCTCTGTGTCTCAGTGTTATATAAAAAAAAACAAACTCAGAAAGTGAGAGCAGCCCAATCACACCCTAAGCTTACACTCTGGGGTGCATAATGCCAACTGGGTCAGATGGCAGTCCCCACTGGGCGGTAAGGGGCAGGAAGCTGGCCTCCGCTCCCTGGGGCCGAGCCCCTTGGCCTGTAATTGCATGCCTCAGAGCTGTTGGTGGCCGCTGGCTCCCTTAGTGCATGTTTAAGTTATGAGCAACGGAGACAAGTTCTAAATGTGCGGAGCAGAAATGTTCTCGCAAATTTCCCCAGGGATTCCGACAGCCGTGCTCTCCAGATGCGTCCGGAGGCTGCTGACAGTCGGTGCAGCTGTGGTGTTTGTTAAACAGGCTCCACACCGAGTGCTGACAGCCTGTGACTTCATTACCTTCACCTCTGCGGCCCGGCCCTGACCCAGCGCGGTCGGAGGAGAGCTCCGCTCACAGTCGCCCATTGCCCGTCTCTCCTCCCACCTTGCCAGCTTGCAGTAGTTGTCGAGGTCGAGAGGGCCCTTGGCTGTTGTCCACTGTTAAATCTGCACCTGCCTTAAAGGCATAGCTGGACTTCTGTCGGACCTGTGGTGGCTTTCGGCCACCCTTAGCCAAGTCTGTGTGGGGCTCCAGGGCACCTACTTGTAATCCCTGCCCTGGTGGGTCATTCTGGCCCAAGCCTGCTGTTCTTACAGACCTTGAGGGACGTTGGAAACATCCCGATGAAACCCCCAGGTGGCTCTCCTTCTGTGGGAGAGGGATTGTCTAAACCAGTGGTTCTCAACCTTCCTAACGCCGCGGCCCTTTAATACAGTTCCTCGTGTTGTGGTGACCCCCAACCATTTCGTTGCTACTTCATAACTGTAATTTTGCTACTGTTATGTCTCAGGCGACCCCTGTGAAAGGGTTGTTTGACCCTTTCCTTTGAGTCCATTCTTACCCCAGAATCAGGATTGTCACGTTCAGTTACAGGGAAAACAACCTTATTGTTTTCCACGCTTCAGAATTCCTCAGCGACCAGTGACGTCTCTGCAGGCCCTGCGCTGATGGCTGTTTGCTGGCACTTCATTGCGAGAACCGGGGAGCTGCTCACAAAGGGGGGCTGCCTGAGCCGGGGCCACGCGGCCAGCCCTGCAGGGCACCCTGGGTTCTCCGAGCAGGTTTTGCATTTTCTCACTTTTCATCTCACCAGGGAAATTTGATGGAGCCAATTTATAAATAAATGATTCATGTTAATCCTTCCCTTCTGCGAGGGCCTCCGGGTTAACCTGGGGACCTTGCTCACAGTTGCCTTGGGGTACGGGGGATAGAACAGTTTTAGTATTTCACTGGGCAGGCTGAACTCTCATGCAAACATAACTTTCCCGTGTAATTTTTGGGGTGTTTGAAAACATGAACGTTGACTCTGACCGAGGCAGAGAGAGAAATCTCACGACTCGGTGGCCAGCTCCTGTGCTGGAGTCCAGTGTAATCGAGGGGGTGTCCCCTCTGAAATCTGTAGCCCCGTGTATAGATGTTTGGTTATCACCAAATAACTCAATTAAAACTTCTTCAAGTAATGGTTTACTGCTTAGAAAGCAGGCTGTCTTTGTGGTGGTGAGTGGGGTGCTTTCCTGCTGTGCCCTCCATCCGGGTGCCCGGCCGAGCAGCGCAGGTGGGGACAGAGCAGAGCACCTGTGCCAGGCGTTAGTGGGAGTTCCAAGGTTTTTGCTGCTGATAAACCAGTAACTCAAAAGCACAGAGCTAAGATACTCTAAAACCAGGTTGTAAAGGAAAAACCAGATTCTCACTTTGACTTGTTTCTATAAAAGTCAATTAACAGTTTAATGAACAGTTACTGAGCACTGACTGCAAGGTAGGCTCAGGGTCCCGTAGGGCATCTCGGTGCGCAGGGCGACCCTTCGAGGGGGGGATTCGCGGCCTGTGTGCACGTGCCAGTGTGGCCTGTGGGCTGCGTTCTTCGGGAAGGCTCAGCGCCCCTCTGTGCTGCGCCCGTGTCGCCTGGCACAGCTCAGCGCACACACCAGGCTCTGCCCTTCTCTGTACCAGTAAGAGCATCAGCGGAGATAACTGGAGCAGCCCGTGTCAAAACCAGAGAGGGGCCGGAACGTGATGGATGGTCGCACAGCCTGAGGAGTGGAATGTGGCGAGTCTCAGAAAGGACTTTACCCCCGGCTTCTCTCTCTGCTCCTCCCTCTTTGTAGCCAACCACGGCCAACCCTAGCTCCAGGGATTGCAAGTTTCAATTCCAACATCACCAATTAATCCCCTAGACTCTCAGTCTCAAATCCTAATTCACAGAAAATGAAATTCACTTGCTTCACATTGGGTCAGGTGACCCCTTGTGGCTTGGGGCAGGGGTACAAAGGACAACAGGGCTGTCCAGGGCCCATTTCTGGGCAGAGAGTGGGTCCCCAAGAGGGGACATATGATGAGCTGAGGGGGAGCAGTGACCTCCATGCCCCACACCTTTCTTACTCCTTGAATGAGCGCTTGCTACACCTGTGTCCGGAACCATTCGCTTCATTTTTTGGTTGGAGGGTGGATATATGCTCGTGAATATGGAGAGCTACCTGTGTTAAGTCAAACTGAGGCCAGTTATTGAAGCTGGACCTTGCTTTGGCATAGAACAGATCACAGAATTAGACAAAAGTGCTACCTAATTGATTTACTCCCCAAAAGGTTGAATTTTGAATACGGCTAAAATGTTTTCATTATAATTGTTACATCTACATTTGTAGACAGCTATCATTTAGGATCACTTGTTACTGTTTTTCTAAGTAGTCTTGTTGAGGTTTACACTGGATTTTAAACTCTATGCTAGGACTTTCTGCCGGCTGTGTCAGCAATGGCCTGTGCACGTAGATACCAGTGTTTACGTCATTATGGGAACAGTTTGGGTGACTGCGCTTCTCCTTTGCAAGTTTAATCTAGTTCCCAGCTCTCTATTCCCAGTTGCTAAATTCTCCAAGTCTCAGAGGTTGCTTAAGCATCTTCATTGTGAAGCTGGCCCCGGGGTGCTCAGAACACACTGGGAAGGGGTTGCTGCAGGTGGGGTGAGTCTGGAATCCCCTCACTCTGCTTTTCTTAGTTCTTAGAGTTTATAACGACAGTTCATTTTTAACTTCATTCTCTTGGAATTAAGAGAATTGTTGTTTAAAAGGGCGTATCGAATACGTTAATATACTCATGAATGAGACAACGTATCCATGAGGTCTTAAAATATTCTGAATAATATTTTCTTTCTTTTTAGCTGTCTCCGTTATGAGGTACAGCGCCTCTGCTTTTGGGTTTGCAGTAAGTAACCTGAAATGTACTTTTATGAAGTTTTGCATGTTTTTCCTGAGCCCATGGATATTGCCCTGGGCTCTCAATAAGAGGATGGTAGCAGATGACAGCTTACTTAGCATGACAAACATTCCTTTTATGGAACTAGCTTCTGGAAATTAGAATGTAACAGAAGTAAACAGCAATGATGCTGTTTAATTCTCCAGAAGAGATTAGGGGATCACATTTTCCACAGCTGGTTGTGGGGATGTTTGAGGGTTTTAGCCCTTTCCAGCCCCTCACCCCCCGAGGGTGTAGTTGGAGAATGGGCTTTGCTGGTGTGGGCAGCGTGGGGCGGTGGCCACTAGGATAAGTCCGTCTGTACCCAGCTCCGGGTACCCTGGGTGCCCAGCCTGCCTCCTGACGGGCGCTGGCTAGAGAGAACGGGTTTCAGATATTTTGCAGACGAGGCATGCTGAAAACGTGGGTGAGCTTCCCCACCTGCCCTCCCGAGTGCCGCTATTTTCCAAGGGGTATGTCACAATGGCTCTCACAGAGGATGCACGTAAAACGTCCCACCTGCAGCTGTAGGTTCCCTGTACCTAAAGGCGTGTTCCTGTTCCCAACCCACTTCCTCCTTTTGTTGTGAAAATTTAATGTTTTGGGGGTTGCAGATCTTTTCAGAATCTTGAGAAGGAGTGGACTGTCTCTCCAGAAGAATGCGTGCATGTTCGCACACGCACGCACGCACACACACGCACACACACACATTCTCTGTCTCTTTCCTACAGTCCTCTCTCTTTCTCTTTTTCTCCCGTCCTCCGGCGTCACACGTTCACTCATTCATTCAAACAAAAACAGTGAATGTTGTATACAATTTCAGGGTGTTTGCAGGCTGCCCAGAGCCCTTGGGTGACCACTCTGTCCCTGGACCCCATATACAACAATCCCGTTGAAAGCCAGAAATCAGTTCCTCACCCTTAGTATTTCACTTGTGGCACACAGTTCAATGCTGAAATGGCCTTGCTTGCCACGGGCAAACCAATTTCACGTGTCAGAAGAGTGTGATCCCCCATATCTCCAGAGTGCTGGCAGCCGGGGGCCCTGGAGCAGACCCACCATGCCTCAGGGCAGGTTTCCCAGGCTGTGGAGCAGAGCAAGGTGTGAGAAGGGGGAGCTGGCGTGGGGGTGCCCTGGGCTCCCGAGCCCCAGGGTCCACTGCGAGGAGGAAGCGGATGGCCCGCGTCATTACGCTGCAAACCCTGTTTGCTCTGAGGTCGCTTGCTCAGATGTTCCCAGTCACAGAATCATTGCCTTGTCTTCACAGTCATGTTCTATTAACTCAGGAAAACCACTAATGCCCTGTCTCCTTCTCCTAGTTTGATGCCATCCTTGATGTCCTGTCATCGGCGATTGTCCTGTGGCGTTACAGCAATGCGGCCGCTGTACACTCTGCCCATAGGGAATACCTGTAAGTGGATTTTTACCTTCTTTCAGACTGCAGTGCCCTTGCAAATGAAGGCCACATAATTAGGTTGTCAGCACAACTTACCCTGCAGCTTTGGTCCCAGTGACAAGAATAAGGTCCTCAAATTGCCCTGAGAATGGCTGGCTGGTGAGATGTGAGCAATAGGCCCCTTCTGCAGTGGTCAAGGAGATGGGATGACTCTTTATGATACTCTGTTCTCTGCTTGGAGTCTGGAGTGAACACTTGTGTGCTCATTTGTCTGTCTAGCCCTCTGTCCATCCATCCATTGGTCCATCTATGATCTTCCATCCTCTTTCTCTTTGCGTTATTAGAATCGTTGCTCTCTTAAATTTTCATGCTTTCTTCTTTCTTACTAGGTTGAGTTTTCCAGGGTAGTTTCCAGAAGACATCTTGAGGGCATTATAAATTACTCTACTTGTCTGTCATCCTGTCTGTGTCAGAGGTATTGCTTGCCTCAATCTCCACATACTGTGGGGGATGGTTCTGTCTTTGAGGGATTTGTGTTTGTAACCATAAAATATGTGTCTTTTCCAGTTTCCATCTCCTTAGTCCATTTGTAATCCTCAGGTTGATAACAGTGAGATTTCCTGGCTTTGAATCTCAGCTTCCCAACTTGTTATCTCTGTGACTGTGGGAAGCTCCTAACTGCCCTGTGCCTCATTTCCTCGTCTGGAAAGGCAGGAAAACCATACCTCCTGTATTAGGGCCATTGGGACGATTATATGCGTGAAATATAATCATCACAGTATGATACACACACGTGTGTGTGCACGTGCACACACACACACACTTTCGAACAGTGTTCAGCATGTAGTAAACCTTAGCTGCCATGATTATTAATTATTAAGGGGACTCCCCTGGGGCTGAGCCACCACTGGTCATTCGGGCAAGAGTTTCACCCCCACTCTGCAGCTTTTGCACAGTTGAATAAGAGTGAGTAAATGCCCCCTGCTGTGGTTTGTGGTGGTTCCCAGACAAAGGTACCCTTGGTAGGGATACTATGTCATACTCAAATATACAAACGTTGGGATACAAATGGTGGGTGCCGGGGACTCAGAGAGTAATATAGCTTACATTTCATGTGTCAAAGAAAGATTTGAGAGATGACATCATAACTGACTCACAAATAAGAAGGAATTTTAATTTAGTCTGTGTCAGCTTTAGGTAGAGCACAAAACTTCTTTTAAGTGTTAAATACGTATTTTGATGTTGTTAGCTTTTTCGACCAACATAATTAAAGTATAAAAATGATCCAATTTGTGATATCATAGATTATTGTTTAGGATAAGGTTAAGTTTGAAAAAAGTGAGTTGTGGTGAAAAAAAAATTAAGAAAACAATCGTAGTCAACTGATTTTGTAAAATTTCAAATGTCGGTGCTGTAAGGACCAGAGTTGAACGAACACTGGTCTAGCCCAAAGAGCAGCTAATGCACCTGCCCCAATTGTTGCTGGCTGTTCTGTGAGGGATGCAGGGAGATAATCCAGACAGTGCTGTCTGGAGAGATGCTCACATGTCAAGATCTAGTCCCTGTCCCGTCAGAAGAATATGTACTTTTTGCTTCTGTGGCTGCACTGTCCGAGACGGCAGCCACTGTCTGCTGGTACTAACCAAGAGCTGTTGTAAGTGTAAAACATATGCCTCATTCCAAAGATGTAGGAAGAAAAAAAGAATGTAAACATTGTATTAATAATTTAAAAAACATGGATTACATTTTGATATAAGAATGTTGTGGATATATTATTGGGTTAAATAAATTCTTAAAATACTTTTTACTTGCTTCTGTTTACTTTTTTTTTTTATCCTCACCCGAGGACATTTTTCCACTCAGATAGAGCGGAAAGGAGAGAGAGGAAGAGAGAGAAACATCGATGTGAAAGGGACACATCGAGTGGCTGCCACCCACACGACCCAACCAGGGCCGGGGACAAACTGCAGCCAAGGTACATGGCCTTAGCGGGAACCAAACCCGGGTCTCTGTGGACCGCAGGCTGATGCTCTAACCACTGAGCCAAACCGGCCAGGGCTCTGTTTACATTTTTAATGTGGGTTTTAGAAGTTTAGAATTGTATATGTGGCTTATATTTTTACTGGGCCTTGCCCTCAGAAGAGAAGGCTCTTCCCTTTGCCTTTTCTTATTTTAGAATTAATAATCCAAAATTTGATTTGCAATTCTAGAAGGAATTGAGGTCAGTGTTTCTCAATTTCTCTCTTCTAATTTGCTTTTTTTTTTTTAATCCTCACCCGAGGACATTTTTCCATTTTTTGTTGAGATATAGTGGGAGGGAGAAGAAGGGGGGGAGAGAGAGAGAGAGAAACATCGATGTGAAAGGGACACATCGAGTGGCTGCCACCCACACGACCCAACCAGGGCCGGGGACAAACTGCAACCGAGGTATGTGCCCTTAGCGGGAACCGAACCCGGGTCTCTCCAGGCCGCAGGCCAACGGCCTAACTGCTGAGCCAAACCAGCCAGGGCTAATTTGCTTATTTTTCATATGATTTTACTTATGCTAGTATGAGTTTCTTACATATTAGTCACAAGGCCACACGTTATTGTAACTTTTTTATAGTGTTGGGATCTCAGTCAGTGTTCGCCAGGTGACCTGGAGTTTTTCCAAGATTAAGTTTGATAACAAGAAATGTCTGTGGTTTCACTGTTTTTAATGATTCTAAAGCAGGTACTGTTTTTTAAAAAATGTATATCTATATTAATACCCAAAAGGCAAAAACTCACAGAGGAGTTATTTCGATAATTCCCAGATAATGGTTCACGTGGTGATGCCGGCTAATTCATTCAGAGACTCTTAATCTCCATGCAGAAACGACACTCACAATTCTCTATTGCTGGCTGCAGTTGCAAGTTTTAATCTCTGGCTCATTCCATGTAAATTAAAAATTCATGAAATCACTGCCAGCGGAGAAACTGGTGTTTGCATACAAATGAGCATGAATGAATTCTGAGAGGCAGAGCTAGGAAAGCGATTGGTTTCCAGTTACTTGCTGGAGAATAATGTTTGAGAGCATGGGGAAATACCCAACAGGTTCTCAGTTAATTCTTCGTGTGTTTCCTACTTGGACGGTAAGGTTCAGGGTGAATGTTGAGCTTGGACTTGCCAGTGCAGAGAGAATGATAGACAGGTTCCCCAGGTCTGCCACCTGCTGACTGCACCTGGGGGGGTGTTTGGTGGCCAGAGAGGAGACTCTGCCTTCAGCACTGGCACAGAGTGGAGCCCAGCCAGGAGTTCTGTTTACACTTTGTTAATGTGGTAAAAACACATAACATTCAATTTACCATCTTAAACATGTGAAGGGTACTGTTCAGTAGTGTTAAGTATAATCACACTGCTGTGAACAGATCTCCAGAACTTCATCTTGCAAAATGAAAACTCTACTCGTTACACTAACATTAATAGCAACTCTGTGTTCATCACACGAACTCCCTGTATCTCTCCCCCTTCCCTTGGCAACCACCCTTCTTCTGTCTCCAGGAATTTGACTACTCTACGTACCTCATATAAGAGAACCATACAGCATTTGTCCTTTTGTGACTGGCTTATTCCACTTAGCATACGGTCTTCAAGGTTCATCCACATTGTAGCATGTGTCAGACTTCTTTCCTTTTTAAGGCTCTATGATATTCCCTTGTCTGTATATACCACATCTCGTCCATCCATTCATCTGCTGATAGACATTTGAGTTGTTTCCACCTCAGCTGGGCCTGCTGAGTCAGATGATAGTATGACTTTTAATATTTTGAGGAACCTCCACACTATTTTCTATAGCAGTTGCTCTATTTTGTAATCCTACAAACTAGTTATTTATTTTAAAAAGCTTCCAATTTGGTCACCTTGTGGTGGGGAATCTAGGTGCGGAGAGGGCGGACCAGGTTTATGCATGGTCAGGATTTTCAGCCAGCGAGTGAAATAGAAGGGGGACAGGGAGTCAAGTTCATTTGTAAGGGAGCCCTAGGAACATGCCGGAATATCCAAGCCGGGGAGCGAGGGACGGGAGGGCCACAGCAAGGTCGGTGAGTAGTCATCGGGGGATAGAGATCTTGACAGTGGCTGGTGTGGGATGCTCATTTGAGAGTGGGATGCTCAAAACGAGAATTTCACAGGTGGTTCGTGTATTTGTGTGGACTTAGGGTGGGAGTGAGTGGCTGAGGTGGGGTAAGGACAAAAGGTCAGGGACAAATGTGAGGCCAGGGGTTGGCTGGATGCGCCGCATGGAATTGAGGGGGTGTTTGCAGACTTCGGGGAGGAGATGGAGGGAGTGGAGCAGGTGCTGATGTCCTGAGTGAATGAAGGAGCAGGGCCAGGGGTTTGGGGAGAGCAGGAGGGGCGGTCGGTGGTTCAGTCTGTGGGAAATGGGGTGTTGAGGGAGAAAGTTGGGGAAACTGGTTTGGACTCACCAGGAGGAAGACAGGTTTGCGATGTGCAGGAGAGAGGAAGCACAGCCTCTACCTCAGAGGCAGGAAGGACACCTCCGCAGGGAACAACCAGGTCGTGTCAGGCCAGGCGGTGAGGGGAAGGGCCAGGAGAGGGACTGAAGGCTGGGGACGGACTGGGACGGGACTGGGACGGAAGGGAGCAGTGCCACGTGGGGACACAGAGGAGTGGGAGGGTGGCTGTAAGGAGTGGTGGCGGTTGTCCTGGTGACAGGGGACTGCTGTGAGGATACTCGGAAAAACGAAGCACTATTTGTGCACTTCTGTTGTGATCCCCAAGGTTCATTCGGTGGAGAAAGCATGGAGCGGAGCAGTGTGTAGGGTCTTTCTCATCTGTTTCAGTAAGAGAGGGTAGCATCCCACACTCTTGTTTAGACAGAAAGACGCTTTACAGGGACACAAAGGAGACTGGCCGCGAGGTCGCCTCTGAGAGGAGGACGAGGGACAGACAAAGGGGGCAGACATTGTCTTTAGCCTCCAGACCTCTCTGGGTGATGGCTGTTCTCTGTCTGCAGTGTGGTAGCCATTAGCCA